AATACACACAGTGGAATCATGATATAACCAGTTTGTTGACTTTGTAATTGTTTGTAATTTATTGTAAAGTTCTCCACAGTGACGTCTGATCCGTGTTTCATTGATTCTCATGATTCATAGATTCAGTTCCCTGAAGTTTTCACGAGTGTGTTGATCTCTGATGAATAATAATTGTGAGGTAAACTGTCAGGTATGACAAGCTGCATAAAATGGCTCCTCTCTCCTCCCAGAATGCCCTGCTGCACCCTGCGGGGGGTCAACCAATGGTATGGTTTGCCCCGTGTGATGTCACAGCGGTATAAAGCCCCCCGTCGGCCGACTGGCCGCTCTGAGCAGAGTCAGCGTTCCCGGCCTGGACGCCTCGGCTGGAGGGACTGCTGTCAGGAGAAAAAACAAAACTACACGGCGCCACCGGCCTGTAGTTCTGTTTTTTTCTGTGGGGTTCCTTCGAGGCTCAGCTCTTCTCCTCTCGGATTTTACATTTCTGGATACAGAGGTTTGGTCTTGTGAACGCAGCCCTCTGGGCAGCTCAGGCATCCTTGCTCAGACAAGTAAGTGTGTGTGTGTGTGTGTGTGTGTGTGTGTGTGTGTGTGTTAAAGTTTTCAGTGTGTTGATTGACAGGCTGCAGCTGACGGACGCCTGCTGGGTTCTCTGCTGATGCTCAGCTGCCAGAATCTCTTTTCAGTCACTTTTCAGAACGTGTCACTGACGGGACTTTTCCAGCTTTTCCCTGTTGAAGGTTATAACGGGGCGTCCCAGAATAGCGCCTGATAGCATCACTGCGGAGCGTCCGTGTGGCTGATGGCTTTTTAAGGGAATCAGCAGCAGGGCTATCAGTTGCTCCTCCAGCTATGTGCACATGGTGTCTGTCAATCAAGCAGAGGTGTGGGGGGGGGGCAGCGGGGGTGGGTGGTATTATTTTTAGCTTTTGGTGTCCTGTGTTAAATAACCCCCGCACCCCCCCCCCCCCCCCCAGATCTCCGTCTGAGAGTCTGACACCTCCCTGAGGCTTTTATTTTGTAGAAGAGTGAACAGCTGTTTTACTCTGAAGGAGGAACTTCAGTCACT